TAATATAAAATTTTTGGACGAAAATCTACTCCATTTTAGTCAAAAAGGAAATGTGGCGGATCACGGGCAAAGGCAAAGGCCAATATAATTATATACACGTGTACAAATACATATATAAACGGAAACGATCATAGTTATACCGACAAAAAAGATTATTAAGGGTTAATTAAATTAAATCGTTATACATATTCACATTTCTAATTTTGTCATTTGTCATTGACATTTAAATTTTTTAAGAAATGGTTTGTGCAAAAATCATTTTCCTTCGTAATCCGCCAAGCATCATTACCTAATCAAGATCTAAATAGGCAGGTTCCTTACTAGAATGTCTATACTAGTGATTGTACCCGGGTAAAGTTATTTGCTTGAATAACATAGTATTCATTCGGGTCAACCCGGGTATTTAATTATACCCGCGTAGTGATTTTCTCAACGGGTACAAACTCTAGTCTATACACGTAGTACGAATCCAAAAAGCTTTATTGAAATTATAGGTGGTAAATTATTGATTATTCATCTAAGGATATATCGGACTTTACATAATCTTGATTCAGCCCAATGATATATCGGACTTTACATTCTTTCAAAGCTTCTAAAAAATATGATCAGCGACATATTAAATATGTCACTAATCATATTTTTAGCATTGAGCTGAATCAGATAATATACTAAAAAAAAAGATCAATTTCAAGCACGACCATACGATATGCTAATTATATATATTAAAATGGCGCGGAGCATATCTTAAGATATATTAAAATGAAGTTCTTACGTATTTTTTGCGGAGTAAAAAGTAAAAACCCCGATTGAAATTACGAAAAGAAAGGAAGTGGCATATTTGCTAAGTGGGTATTTAATTCCGCAAAATACGGTATTTAAAGTCTTTGCTAACCACTCTACTCACTCTAGAATTAAATTTTGATTCTAATCTACAAAATATATAACTCAAACTATACATACCAATACGTATTCTGGTAATAAATTCTTCTGTTATTTCTGTTATTCAAAATTATGTGTCATATTTAATATTAAATTCTTTATTTTTTTTTTTTTAACATAGTATTATTAAAATGAAATTCGCTGTACTTAAATTTTTCGTAACCATCTTCGTCGCTTTCGTCGGTGTTTCAGCAAGTCCCACCAAACTTTTGGAAAGACAATGTACTACATACAATTGCGTGATAAGCTCTGGTTCTCTTGCTTGCAAGGATCCTACCGGTGTCACTACTGTCGTTCCATTAAGTGATCCTAGAATTAATAATGTAGTTTTTCCCGCATGTTTTTAAATCAAGATATCATATTTTTTTTTAATTTTTTTATAAATCTAATCTATAATATTTTATTAATTTATAGTTTAATGCAAAAAATATCATCTAACTATAGTTGTATTTATTAATATTGATATATCAAAAATATTAATATGTAAAAATTTAGATTTAATAAGAACAACACATTAAATATAGTTACATATTTTCATATCTCGATCATACTATTCTGTTTTTAACTAATTAGAAACTCTTAAAAGCATAAACTCATATTTAATAATAATAAGATATCAAACTACACAAAACCTTTAAAAAATCTAGTGCTTTGTATTAAAATATCATAGAGTTCTAACACTATTTAAAATATACTAGATAAATTTACCAAGTTATATATAACATTTTTTAGAAATCATATCTTTAACTATCCAATTAATATTTTTTATTAAATTTGTAATATGTAATACCAGATCAAGCAACATATTATACAGTCATTATATCAAGTCATACATACATATATGCTAATTTAAAATCAAGCTATATTATATATATTAATATCAATATACTCAACATACTCAAAGATAATAGAGTTAATTTACTATTACTATCTAAACTAACTAAAAATATCTTAAAATATAAATATAATAAACTGAATCATATTTATCATTTAGATGAACTAAAAATATTTAAAATCACAAATTTAAATTAAAATCAGAAAAACAAAATTATATTATAAAATATTACGAATGAAGTTAGAAATTATAGTAGAGATCTTGATTTAAAATTATAAAGCCTGTTAAAATCTAAATATACTCTTTTATTATAAACTTTATTATATAATTATCATAATAACTATAAACCAAATTTGAAATTTTAGGGTTATTATAGTATATCAAGCTTTAATAATATTTAGTAGATAAGTTATGATTTTTTTATTTTAGTTAGAGTTCTTTTTCTCTATTAAATTGTTTATTTTTATTGGTTATA